ACCATGGCCTCAGATTTGCAGGTGCTGATTCTCATCCCAGCCGCTTCACACTCGGATGCACCCGTCCCAGTGCATGTTGCAGGTCCTGGTTCGTTGGAGCCAACAGGACAACATCGTCCGCAAACAGCGGAGACAAAATCCTGTGGTCTCCGGACCCCATACTCCTGGAGAAGCTCCCAAAGGACACCTCGGGGAACACGGTCGAATGCCTCCTCCAAATCCACAAAGCACATGTGGACAGGTTGGGCAAACTCCCATGATCCCTCGAGTATCCCATGGAGAGTATAGAGCTGGTCCAGTGTTCCGTGGCAAGGACGAAAACCACATTGCTCGTCCTGAATTCGGTCAAATTCTCCTTTCCAGGACCTTGAAGTAGACCTTACCAGGGAGGCTGAGAAGTGTGATCCCACGATAATTGGAACACATCCTCCAGTCCCCCTTCTTGTAGAGAGGGACCACCACTTCGGTCTGCCACCCCACTGGCACTGCCCCCAACAGAGACAAGACAGTCCTACAACACCCAGAGAGTTTAGATGGTTACGACGGATCTCATCCACTCCTGAAGCCTTACCACCAAGGAGGGTGCCAACCACCTTGGTGACTTCAGCCAGGGAGATGGAAGTATCGACCCCAACATCCTCAGTCTCTGCCTCCGGGACGGGGGATTGAGGAGAACCTCCAAGTATTCCTTCTACCGCCCAACAATATCCCCAGTCAAGGTCATCAGCTTTCCACCCGCACAGTACACAGTGTTGGCAAAGCACTGATTTGATTGTAGTTATTTAAATTGTGTAGAGATTTACTGTTCTCACAGTTGTAAGTCCAAAACATTTTTAGCAAGTAGAAATATCATTCATACAGTATAATCATCAACAACATTTTTGGTCAAGCTATAGTTATAAGTCAGATATATATTTTAAATCATATGAAAGCTGAGGTTGCTAGCAGTAAAATACAGTTTTCCATCCAGAGGACCACCCTCACTCAGCCAGCCATGAACTATCAGCCAATATGTCATATAGTGACTCTCAGGGTTTTTTCTATGTTAAAGACAGCGTGTTATGGTCTGATTTTTTTTTTAACAATACTCTTTTTGTTGGGACAAATAAAATGTGTTATTCATGGAGTAAAGTTAGGTACCCCAGCTTTAAACATCAAAAACCCCTAATAATGAAAATTGTGTATTATAACTTAGAACTATCATCTCCTCCTTCCTACTTTATCTATTTGCATTATTAGGATTTTGACTAAAGTCTTTTCATTGCTATTCACCCGTTGTTCCATTGTCTATTTCATGGTGCGACGACGGGACCTCTGAACCTGGCCTCCTCCATCTACACCTGTGGACTGCCCTACCCGACCCGATTGGGAGCTGCTTCAGTCCTGCACTGGACCTGTCCACGTTCTGCGGCCGCTGCGTGGCCCTGGTCCATGTTCTGTAGCTTATGGTCCTGGATCTATAGCCCGTCCGTCCGTGTGGAGCGGATCCCTCTCTAAATATGTGGGTCTTCCTGAGGTTTCTCACTTTTTTCCCACTGGGTTTTTGTGAATTTTTCCTTGCCGATGTAGGAGGGTCTGTTGGACAGTTAGTGTCTAACAAAAAGGACTGTGATGATGATCCAGGACACTTTAACATTCTTCAACATGTATGGACATTTATCAACATGTGTTCTACATTCTTTTTTGTGTTTTAGCTGTTGATTCCCTGATCTGTGTTGGTGATTTCAATGGTTTTGTTAAGTCTTCTGAGATGACTACTGTTTTGATTTAGGGCTCATCATGTCATGTCATGTCATAAAAGAATACATTTTATTGTATTGTAACTGTATAACAAGCATCATATTGGATGTGTTGTAATCAAAGGCATGGCTCTGATTCTGAAGGACCACAATTGTACAGGAGAAATAGATGAAGCTGCCGTTGTCATGACAACAAAGAGGCTTTTAGCAACAAGGGGAACTGAACTCTCATCAGACCCTGTACATCAGCGAGGAAGTTGGCGGCTAATGTTAAAAAAAGGTTTGGAGCTGGAGTGTTTCTTGACGATGAGGCATTTGTTTGTATTTTGTCAAAGAAGGGAAGACATTATAATCAGGTAAAAGCGCTGAACTTTTGATTAGAGTATCAATGTTGAATGAAAAGCAAACAGATGTGACACGAGCCAGACATGTGGATAAAACACCTGGAGCTATGTTTATTCATTATGTGCTGTACATGACATACAGAAAAAGCTAGGGCTCTCATTAAGTAGGATACAAAAATATAAAAGAGGAAAACATAGCAGATATTTGTACTGGATATTGTTTGATGGTAATGTAGCATGTAATGTGTGCATATTTTCAACCTGCTGAATAGAAAATCTTATTGGTCTAATAAAGCCATTACAATTACACTTATGTTGTCATATTTTTCCTGAGTGTTACACATGTAGTATTGATTACTGAGCTAAACCAGCATGGCATATAGCTAGAAACGGTTACATAGGACGACTCATTTTCTGTGTGTGTGTAGTGTGTGTAGTGCTGGTTTTTGTTTCTGAATTTTGTGAAAAAGATTTAGCTTAAACCAAGTTAATTTCACAAAACCATTGAGTTGCCGGTTCAACTCAAATAAGAGCCTCATTCTACTATATTTTGCTTGAAAATTATGAATATAAATGTTTTGTGAAGGATGTCCATTTTATTTTGAATTAGGAATAACTCCATTTTAAACTGTTGCTCAGAAAAGGTTAAATGGGATTTGTACATGTGACCTGTTATCTGGGGATATAAATTAAAGATGTAGATGTGATTTAGAATTAAAATATAACATACTGTCCCTGTAACAAAATATATAGAAAAAGTGCCACATTAAATTGTGTTTCATAAAACATAATATTACGGCTATAATTGAGCTGCTATTGCAATGATCACAATTTCTGACACTGCAATGCATGGGAAGGTTCTTACTCACCGAGCAGAGGAGTCCAATGCTCACAGACTATAACAGATATCATCATAACATCTGATTTGCAATGGTTTGCCTATATAGCCAGACTGCATCAAACCGAAGCCAATGGATTGATATGGGGCCAGCACTGTGACATTGCTACTGAATAGCATGCACAGGGCAGAGTAAATAGTAAATAGTAAACTCCTCCTTTTGCTAATACAAGAATATATATATATATATAAAATATACAGTATATGTCAAAATTATCGCGTTAACGCACGTAAAAAAAAAATTTCTTCATTAATTAACGCATACCCATGCATCCCATAATAACAGTCAGAATGCCACAGACACAAGTGTGTGAGAGCCGGTAGGCTCTCTGGGAATTCAAGTTTTAAAAGAATACACGCGTTTCCTCCTGTATGAACTCTACGAGCTGAGCTGGGGCCGCTCTGGACAGCGGTTCCTCCAGTGGCTGTGATCACGGCAAACGGCACCGCGTAAGACGTGATCATATCCAAGACCACTCACAAAAGGTCGGCACTAGATCATATACGGAATCGGGACGAAATCGGAAGTAACAATCCTACTTTCGAATTAGATTCAGATTCAGATTCATTTATTTGCCATTTGCAGTAAAACCACATTGGAAAAACTGTGCAAGACTACCCCGGTGTGCACCGGTGTGTTTTAGACTAATAAGTCCTTAAGTGGTGACTGGTTAAGTTTTAGGCGTCTGAGTAAGATGGTTAAGGTTAGGGTTAAGGGTGGGTTGGGGTTATTTTATGGGAATGGCTGGTTAAGTTTACAGAAAAATATGGCATCATTTTGTCGATAGTTTTAAATGCGATTGATTACGATTAATTAATTTTTAAGCTGTAATCAACTCGATTAAAATTTTGAATCGTTTGACAGCCCTAATATATATATATATATATATAATCTTTCTTTTTTTTTTCATACACAAAGTATGACATTGTGATTACTACAGCGGGAGTCAGGCCTGTCAGAATAATTATTGCTATATCAATTTATTGTTCAATAACTTGTAACGCCTGCATAGGTCCTTACCTTAGTGTCGCTCAGGAGGGGTGACATTCGGTATTTTTCAACCAATTTTGTGTACCAGGTCTGTGTTGTGTTTTGTTTCATAAGTCTCCAGGTACTGATGCTATTATTGTTTTGCCATTGGTGGCGCGCTTGGGGACTCTATTTAGGAGTGACGGGCACGAGCGCGGGGGCGCGCGTGTTCTGACGTCAGACGCCGACTTGGAGTCAGGCCAGCACCTCTACCTGGAGTTTTTGTGGATTATAATCTCTGTTGGAGTATCGTTCTTTTTGGATTACCGTGTGCAGAGGGATCAAACGAGACTCTGTGGATTATCTCTCCATGGTTGCTGGTGGGCTCCAGGACCCGTTTTTGTGAACCTTGGTGCATGCGCGGGGCCGTGAGTACACCGTGGCTTCACCACTGACACTGACTCTTTCTTTTTGTTTCCACATATTGAGTTCTAAGTGGCTGTTTGTGATCATATTATGTTTTGTTGTGTGGGGTCGCGCTCGAGCGTGGGGGGTGTTGGCGCAGTGTGAGTTGACTGGGATCAGTAATAAATAGCCAGTCTTGTGCCAAATGCATGTTCTGTATCTGTGCTTATTTCACCCCGCTGATGTGACATCTCCTCTCGCGACCCTTTTAAAGCGTTGTAGCTCTGGTGTCTTGAAAAGTTAGGCAGATTGTTACAGACTGGTGGCCCGTACGAGGACCGCGGAGTTTCTGTACATCAGCGGCGTTGGTGTCGAACTTTTACGCACGGGTTACGCGCACTACCTTCCGCGCGCACACGCATATGCTTCATTCATGAGACACTCCCCTGGCTCCCCTATATCCCTCACGCATTAAGCGACATTCACACCAACAAAGTATGGCAGATCCAGTCCAGAATATACTGGATGAGGACAGAGGAGAGGAGAATGCAGTAGATGACACACCGGTACTGCATCCTTCTTATCATGTCACTCTTAGACAAAATCAAAGTGGAATGTCTGAGCTCACGAGCCGGTTAGAATCCATGTATTTAAACGAGGCAGAAGACGAGAATGACGGGGCGGGGAATGACATGGGCATGGAGAGAGTGTTTGAGGAGCTCAATACATTAAAGGGGACCGTAGATGCCCTGGAGACACGCCTTAAAGAGACAGTGGACAGTGCTCTGAGCAGAGAGGAGGGGCTAAGAGCGGCAATGGATGTGATGGCAGGAGAATTCAAAAAGTATGTGGATGGAAAGCTACAGCGTTTTGATGAAGTTGTCACAGACTGTCTATTACGCAGGGACCAGAGGTGGACGGAGGAATTAAAAAGGATCCAATCGAAGTCCCGGATGTCCTGGGGACCCGTTAGTTATTCTACGCCTTCCATCCCTGCACATTCTTCACACCGGCGACTAAGCGCAGACGAGACCTGTCCCACAGTACCACCAGCCGCAGCCAGACCCCCCATTAGAATGGAGTTTCCTCAGTTCGGAGAGTCGCGAAATTCTTCTGACGTCACGGACTTTGTTGAGCAGTGTGAGAACTTTTTAACCCTCAGACCACTGAGTGACATAGAGCTGATGGGAACGCTCAACACAGTTTTAAAGGGCCCTGCACGCAGTTGGTGGTTGGCCGCCCGCAGTAAAATCAGCAACTGGACGAACTTTAGGAAGTCCTTCCTAGAGGCGTTCTTACCCATGGACTATCAGGCGGAGATTGAGGATCAGCTCAGGACCAATGTGCAGGCCCCAGGCCAATGCCTGAGAGATTTTGCGTACGACCATCGAGCTCTCTGTCTAAAGTGGAGACCAGATATGACGGAGGCAGACATGGTGCGTCGCATCCTCAATGCTTGTAACCCTAGGCTGGCTAGCGGGCTGCGAGGCACAGTTACCACCGTTGAACAGCTGGTGAAGGTGGGCTCTCTTATTGAGAAAGACTGGAGCAACACAAAGGACTATTGGAGCAGAGTTCAGCAGTCACATCCTCCTAAAAGGGTGGGCAAAAAGAACGACCATGGTCCAAACCGGAGCTCCGGTGGCGACGTCGCTACAGCTTTGGGCGAGCCGTCTCTCCTTGTCATGCCGGTCTACCTTCGCGGTTCCAAAGGCGATGCGGTACTCGATTCGGGATGCACTTACTCCCTCATGAGCCACTCACTATGGAAGGCCATCAAGAAGGGCGGAGAGATTCTAGCGTCGAGTGAAATCCCAAAGTTCGTAATGGCCAATGGTCAAGAGAACAAGGCTCTTGGGAAAGCCACCTTGCTCTTTTGTCTCCACGATTTCCATGGCATGCTCGGAGTCCACGTTCTTGCTGACGACAACCTCTGCATGCCACTTCTCTTGGGACTCGACTTTATGTCCATGTGCCAAGTAACTCTGAAGCCACATTGTAGACGTTACATAATGCCGGGTGGCAAAGAGTACGCGTTTCTCCCCAAAGTAAGAGCAACGCTGCACTGGAGTCACAAGCCACCTTCAGTGAACTTTTACGTTGCCGAACAAACCCACACTGTCATTCCCCTCCTGCAGGCTCAGCCAGAGGTGGTGCGGCCACTGCTGCAGAAGTGGTCCAATGTCTGGACTGAGGCTACTGGAGCCACACAAGTTATAAAGCACAAGATAACAACCACCGATGAAGTACCAGTGCGGAAAAGAGCCTACCGAGTATCGGCCCATAAGCAAGCTGTTATCGAAGAACAAGTCCAAAAAATGCTTGACAATGGGGTCATCGAGCCATCCGCATCCCCTTGGTCCTCTCCAGTGGTCCTCACTCCGAGAAAGGATGGAACTCCACGATTCTGCGTGGACTACAGGGGCTTAAATGAAAAGACGAGGCATGATGCGTATCCCATGCCCCTGATTCATGAGATTCTAGAGTCCCTGGAAGGCGCTCAGTACTTTAGCTCCCTGGATTTAAAGAGTGGGTACTGGCAGGTTGCTATGGACGATGAGAGCAAGCTCAAAACAGCCATGACCACCCATCTGGGCTTGTTTCAGTTTAAGGTCATGCCTTTCGGTCTGCGCAACGCTGGGGCTACGTTCCAGCGACTGATGGAGATCGTCCTAGGCGAGTTGAGGGGAAAAGTCTGTTTCGTATACATTGACGACATTATAGTCTTTTCCAAAACGGAAGAACAGCACCTCCATGACCTTGATGCAGTGTTTGCCAAGCTCCACCATGCAAACCTGACGCTCAACGTAAAAAAATGCTGTTTGTTTCAGCGCCAGCTCACCTTTCTCGGCCACCTTGTCTCAGAAAAGGGAGTAGAGGTGGATCCCACCAAGGTGTCGGCTATCATGGAGTTCCCTCCACCGACAGGGATAAAAGGTCTCCAACGATTCCTGGGTATGGTCGGATGGTACCACAAGTTCATTCCGCGATTCGCTGACATTGCTGCACCCCTGAACCATCTAAAAAAAAAAGATGTGCAATGGGAGTGGTCTGCGGAGTGTCAGAGGGCCTTCGACCGACTCAAGGTCCTGGTTCAATCACCACCAGTCCTAGCCCAGCCACAACCTCAGCTCAGTTTCCAAGTCCACTGTGATGCCAGTGATGTGGGATTGGGAGCCATTCTCACACAAGAAATTGACGGTGAGGAGCGTCCTGTGGCGTTTGCATCCCGAGCTCTTCAGGGCGCCGAGGTCCGATATTCCACCGCTGAGAAAGAATGCTTGGCAGTCGTGTGGGCAATAGAAAAGTGGAAGCACTTCCTTGAGGGCACCACATTTGACGTGTACACTGACCACAGTGCCCTGGCCTGGGCGTTCAACTGCCCCAAGACATCCTCACGCCTCACCCGCTGGACATTACGTCTTCAAGCGTTTACCTTCAGAGTCCACTACAAAAAAGGATGCTGCAACGTGGTCCCTGATGCCCTCTCACGTGCCCCCATTCCCCAAGCTGGACAGGTTTGCCTGACTGTGCCAAAAACATATTGGTCAGACATCCCTTGTTCCCTGCAGGAGATTGCTAAGGCCCAAGAGGCGGACCCTTCCTGTCAAGAGCTCGGGCCGTCTGACCGCCAAGCAAGCCCGGGTCGCATCCATTACCAACTCCAACAGGACGTGTGGTACAGAGGCGTACCTTCCAAGTACGGAGGTTTTAATTACCAAGTGGTGGTTCCGGCCGCGTTGGTGCCCCAGTTCCTGTTGTACTATCACCACAGTCCATTTGGTGGACATCTGGGCAGGATGAAAACCCTTTTGAAGATCCTCCAGGTGGCCTGGTGGCCATCTGTCCGCAACGACGTCTGGCAACACGTCCGTACGTGCACTATCTGCCAGCAGTACAAATGTTCCCTTGGAAAGCCGGCCGGGCTCCTGCAGTCTACTGAGGTCAAGGTTCCGGGGGAAATGATCGGTGTGGACTTCATGGGACCATTCCCACTCAGCAAAGACCGCAACTCCGTGCTAATGGTAGTTGTGGACTACTACAGCAGATGGGTCGAGGTGTTTGCTTTGAAGGATGCCAAAACCCCCAAAGTCTGCAAGGTCCTGAAAGATGAGATTTTTACCCGCTGGGGCGTTCCGAAGTTCATGGTGTCTGACCGAGGCCCTCAGTTCACAAGCCATCTGTTGGCCCAACTGTGTGAAACCTGGGGCGTCACCCAAAAACTCACCACAGCCTATCACCCCCAAACCAACATGACAGAGAGAGTTAATCGCACCCTCAAGACCATGATTGCCTCTTATGTTGGGAACCAGCACCAAGACTGGGACAGGTGGCTGCCTGAGTTTCGGTTGGCTCTTAACACTGCGGTACATGAGACCACCGGCGTGACACCTGCCATGCTGACTCTGGGTCGAGAGCTCCTGGGGCCACTTGAGAGACTTGTTCACAGAGCTCCTGCTCCACATACACCCGCATACCAGACTCTTCAGACACACACACTCAGTTAAGGGAGGAGGTTGCGAGACACGTTGGCGCGTCCAAAGCCAGACAAGCCAGATACTATAATGCACGACGCAGGGATGTACACTTTGCTGTCGGTAGTCTGGTCTGGGTTAGGTCGCATCCGTTGTCCAAAGCTTCTGCGAGATTCTCTGCCAAACTTGCACCCAAGTGGTTAGGGCCGGCTAGGGTAGAGAAAAGCTTAGGACCTGTAAATTACCAAATTTGTTGGTTGTCCGATAAGAAGAAGGTGGATACTATAAACGTGGTAGACATGAAGCCCTATTTTGGACCCGTCAAGCCGCTGGCTGGGGGGGGGGGGGGGAATGGTAACGCCTGCATAGGTCCTTACCTTAGTGTCGCTCAGGAGGGGTGACATTCGGTATTTTTCAACCAATTTTGTGTACCAGGTCTGTGTTGTGTTTTGTTTCATAAGTCTCCAGGTACTGATGCTATTATTGTTTTGCCATTGGTGGCGCGCTTGGGGACTCTATTTAGGAGTGACGGGCACGAGCGCGGGGGCGCGCGTGTTCTGACGTCAGACGCCGACTTGGAGTCAGGCCAGCACCTCTACCTGGAGTTTTTGTGGATTATAATCTCTGTTGGAGTATCGTTCTTTTTGGATTACCGTGTGCAGAGGGATCAAACGAGACTCTGTGGATTATCTCTCCATGGTTGCTGGTGGGCTCCAGGACCCGTTTTTGTGAACCTTGGTGCATGCGCGGGGCCGTGAGTACACCGTGGCTTCACCACTGACACTGACTCTTTCTTTTTGTTTCCACATATTGAGTTCTAAGTGGCTGTTTGTGATCATATTATGTTTTGTTGTGTGGGGTCGCGCTCGAGCGTGGGGGGTGTTGGCGCAGTGTGAGTTGACTGGGATCAGTAATAAATAGCCAGTCTTGTGCCAAATGCATGTTCTGTATCTGTGCTTATTTCACCCCGCTGATGTGACATCTCCTCTCGCGACCCTTTTAAAGCGTTGTAGCTCTGGTGTCTTGAAAAGTTAGGCAGATTGTTACAAACTGATGGATAAAACATTGCACATGTTATTTAAACTGTTTTATTGATTGGTTTCACAGTGATAATAGTTTTTTGTACCTCTTAGCTTGTTTTATATCATATACTTGTTTGATACACAGGAGTTGAGAATTAGCTGTGTGTGTGTGTGTGTGTGTGTGTGTGTGTGTGTGTGTGTGTGGGCGTGCGTGTGTGTGCGTGTGTGTGTGTGTGTGTGTATTTGTGTGCCTGCCTGCGTGCGTGTGTGAGTTTGTGTGTGTGTGCGTGCGTGTGTGTGTGTGGCATCTTTTTGCTGTAAGTATGACTGTTGTCCCAGTTCAAATAATACATACATACATTCTATTAAACTAATCATCCATCACCATGATGTCATGACAGACCTAATCAGTGCCTAAATGAATTACAATAAAATCCTGTATAACTTAAAGGCTTTATTTTGCATTAAAGCTCTGCTCAAAGGATCACGTTTACCCCTTCTCACATTCAATTACATGAAAAAACCTTTTTCTGTGCACCCAGATGACATCACTGACTCCCAAGGAGTTTAGAGTTATAAAATACAGGTGAGACTTACAGATGCAAATTAGAATATTGGTTTCAAAAGTCCATTTATTTTTGTAATTTAACTTACAATGTGAAACTAATATATGACAGACTCTTTACACACAAACTGAGACACAACCATTCTTTCTTTGTTGTAATGTTGATAATTATGGCTCATAGCTTGTAAAACCCCCAGATAAAGCATCTCAGAAAATTTCAATATTCCGAAAATGGACTGTATGCCATAATTATCTAGCCTGGCTCTCGCCAGACCCTTGTAGTTCCGCCATGCTCCACCAGAGACGTTTCGCTTCACACAAGGGTCCGGTATTGAGCACATAGCAAACTCCTTCAGCATATCAGAAAATAATTGACCAATCAGAATCGCCGGTGTTAGGTCAGATTTGCAACGCCTTTTCAAGCGTGTGTCACGCGGCAGCAAAAGCAATCCAAGATGGCGGACATGAAGTCCGTGAATTTTTTTTAAGTTCAAATACGAACGAATTAAGACACGGATGTCACTTTTAATGCAATATGAGGCGAGATGTTGATTGCTCAATGTTGTTATATGTGTGTTTTAAGAGTCAAACGTTTGTGTAAAGTTTGGTTTAAGTACTGGTTTAAAGTGTTCCTGTTTACAACACTATGCAGCAGGGTTGCCAGGTTGGGTGGTTTCCCGCATACTTTTCTTCAAGACACTTGTAGGTAATAAATAAACAGAAAGACAATAAACAGAATCTTGATAGCCCAAGTTGATCACATTACGTTTTTAGCCAAAAAAATCATTCTGCCGGCATTTGGCAACCCATAGGAGTTGTGTGCTTCGATGTGAGTGGTTGAAGAAAGACGTCATTCAAGAAAACGGACAAGTGGTTTATCCAATCACATACAAGGATTTTTTTATTTAGAAAGCCCCGCCTTCTGAAATCCAACCGCTATGGCTCAGATCCAGGCCCATGTGTGAAGCGCAGCGATCTACAGTACAAAGGTCTGGCGGGAGTCAGGCTAATAATTGTCAACACAACAAGGCATATGCACGCCGTACTTTGATAAATACCAACAAAAGATATACCCAATTTTTTTTTTTTTTATGAGTTCATAAAAATGCTTATTACTATATACAAGTTGTATTATAATCCGTAATTTAAATGAAAACTCCAGCTCATTGATTCAGCATGTGTATGAATTCAGGCCGTAAAAAGTGCTGAGTAGAAACTTAGCGTGACGCCCGCTCTCCTCCAATCACAGAACAAGGAGCGAACAGGCTGCGTCCTCTAGCTTCTACAGCGCTGGTAAACACAGTAGCATGTTAGCAGAATTGGCCATAACTCCTCCAGGCTCCGGCTGTAACTGCATACACAGCAAAATAGCCCAAACGACACAACAGTGAGGAAGAGAAGACGGAACTAAAGCGAAAAAATGATCAAAGAAAAAATCAACATAGCTAGCTTACATCATATCCTCTGGAGAGATTTACAGACCTGCGGGATTGGGACTGCCCCAGACTACATTCGAATGTGAAACTAGCGGTGATCTTTCAGTTATATATTTTGTTAGCAGTGCGTTGCTTTTGTACAATTTCATCAGTGATTGTTGTACAGCATTCAAGAACTAATGTTTGCATATGTATAAGATCGCAAATAAAACTAGATAGCTCCGTGGGATGAGAGTGTAGGGGAAATGAGAGACCTGTGACGAGTTGAGGGGCAAACCTTGCAGAAACGGGTAAAGCTTTTTTAAGATAACAAGGGCTATACTTGGACATGACCAGTCAGTTAATAATATATTGCTTTCTTGGTAGAAGTATTGCTTTGGAACCACTTTGGTACTGCAATAGCATATTTTCAAGTTCATACAGATGGCATATGTCACTTTGCATGTTTTAAAAACTGTATCAAACTGTATTTTTCTCTTTTGACAAATCAATTTCTCCTACAGGGGATCAATAAAGTATATATCTATATCTTAAGTTGAATTACAGAAATTAAGGAATTTTCAAAGTTTCACCTGTATATGCTCTTCCATTCAGTACAATGAAACCCCCACAATAATACCACCATTTAGCTTGAAAATGAGGCTTAAAGTTTAAAGCAAATCAAAGTTAAACTGTGCCATTCCTCCTCCCCCAATCATAATGCATTATTTCCAGACACACATACACACACACAAGAGACAGATTATCCACAACAATCACTTCGGCTTTACTTTTCAATGCAGTTTAATCAAAGTACACATAACTATGCCAGACTCTCTCGGCTTAAGAGTGCCAATACTCTGGGGTTATGCAGTGACCAGGTGCTAATCCCATAGGGTGTGCTTCCCTTCTGGCGTTAAGCAAGACTAAGACAGGGGGGAGGGAGAAAAAAAAAGTCCACACTCACCTCAGGCCAAACGTGTTAGATTGCTCAAAGTGGAACAGCGAGTGTATCTTGGCATCTGAATTCACAGCAATCAGCCTGTCTATCAGATCCTGCAGGGTAAAAAAATTAAAAACATTGTGGGGAGGATAGCTGTGGCTCAGGTGCAAAACTGTTGTGATCAAGACTAGGGCTGATATACATAACATGGTGTTGGATTTGTATATAGATTATGGATATGAAAGAGCTGTGTGGGTGGTTGGAGGATGGAAAGAGCAAGCATGCCCTCTAGTGGCCCTATTTGACTGGTGACTCACTATGATGGAGGAAGGTGTCTCTCTCAACGTGTATTCGTCTTTGTTGGGAAGAGGCTGATGCCGGAGAAGTTCCCACACAGATTGGGAGGAGGAGAGCAGGTTCACCAAAGAGAGAAATGACTTAGGGGAAAATAAAAGAAAACTGTCAGTATTAATATAATATGGTCATTGTCGCTACATTTACAATTAATTTTGTATGTAATTCAATTTATTTTTTAAAACCCTAAATCACAACAGCAGTCAGCTTGGACAAACATTTCTTTGTGATGAAATTGCTTTGCTTGGCTTGGCCTGAACATTTAACAATATAACGCACTAGAAAAAAAGAATAATAGAATAAAAAATCTAAGTTAGAAAATCAAAGTTATTTGAATAATAATAATTCAATTGAAAATGTTCCCCTAAATCACAACAAAGTTGTCGAATAGTTTGAACATGCCTCTACTCAGACAGCTGCCTGTGCAACCTGGCATTGGATAAAGCGGAAGAAAATGGATGGATGGATGGATGAGAAACATAATACATACAAATATAATACAGAAAAATTACTTGTTAAAAAGATAAAACCTACTTCACTTTTACAAGGATATGGTAAATGTATGTATAAAAATGGTAAATGTATGCATATAAACTTGTTATTGACTGTTATTGTAAAGTTATAGGTGCAGAGATAAATTTATTTGTTGATTGTATTTCATTTTGACATATTTGACCATATGACCCTGTAGCATCATTTATGAAGTGTTTTTCATCAATGAATATATTAAAACTAGTCCCTCCCCTTGGAATAACCACCACCAGTAATATTTGCTAGACGGGAAAAGTCTATCAAAGATTTCAACTGATTTGAATCTGTAGTTGCGGGTCTAACAGATGTTTACATTATACCAAGAAGTCTCCATCTTCACGATTTGACCTACACTTTAAGGATTTGCCATATCCTAAATACAATACAATACAATAAGATTTATTCTTGTATAGCCCTAGGTCACAACAGAAGTCATCTCAGAGGACTTAACAAAACCATTGAAATCACCAACACAGATCAGAGAATCAACAGTTAAAACACTTGAAAAATATAAAGCACACACAGAAGAAAATGTCCATACATGTTGTAGAATGCTAAAGTGTCCTGATCATCACCAATCCTTTCTGTTGGACACTAACTGTCCAACAAGACCCTCGTGCATCGACAAGGAAAAACTCTTTAAAAAAACCCATAACCCCATAAATAAATTTCAAACTTTAGCCAAGTGTATGTTAAATTTCCTTTGTTGTTGACTAATGACTGAATAAATTATACACTTTTGAGAGTGTTACGTCCTCTATAATAAACACAGTATAAAAAGTCTTCTCTATTTTACTGAGCGAGAATTGTATTTTCCAGATGAAAAAGACCATTGATAATCAGAGTCGAGCAGAATAGCTAAAAGGGGAGGTCATTGAAAACGGTTGAATGTATTTGAATAAAGTATCAAAATAATATAACATGAAGGCTAATGTTACTTTTACATTTCAGCAACATTAATTTAACAGTTGAAGGAAGAGAAATAAGGCCTTTACGCATAGTAATAAAGTTTATCAGATGTAATAGACAACATTCTTTAAAACAAATACCTAATGAAGCAACATGTTTTACAACTTTAACTAAATTCTTGGGAGTTAGAATGTTATAGGCCATATATGGAATTTACCAGTCAGTTAATAAAATAATAAATAAATAAATAATTGCTTCTGAGGTAGATCTATAATATGACTTAAGGTCCAACATTGACTTTTCATCATTACAGTGCTATTTGGCCTCATCGATTCCCTCAAGCTTTAGTTAGAGAGCGATCTTTCTCTTTCATTCTCGAGAGGCACAAAAACGACCGGATTCACTTTGTTACTTAGAACACTTTCACACGTAGCTCGATTGACGGGAGAGAGAAACCAAAACAGCAAATCAGCGCACAGCCTGTTTTAGCGTAAGGACCCGCTACCACAGTGTGTGTTCGCTTCTTTGCTGTTTTTCTGTTATTGCAATAGCATCATGTCAACTTGTGTGTTTTTGGGTTGAACTATGTGAATTTGACGTGAAGACGTGTAGCTGGACTTTCCATTCACAGGATCTGGCTGATAAATCTGTAACAAATCGAGGCTACGGCGCCGTGCGGGTGGTGGGATGCGGGCTCACAGGGAAAGGAGCACAGATCCAAGCATTTGCATAGAGGTGACAGCTCTATGCAGGAATAGCTATAATTTCTAAGTTTTGAGTGTTGTATGATGTATCACCCAAATTATTATCACGCACGTGCTTAGGATAGACTGTTAGTGAAATATAGGACCTTTAAGTACTGTTTGGAACCACATTGGTACTATACAATCACAGGTTTTCAAGTTTGTACAGAATATATGCGTTTTACCTTAAGGCAGGTTCGGTCAATAGGATCCATGGAGGTTGGTTTTGGGTGAACAATTCGTATGTCTTCGTTTCCACATTCCAGGACTGACCATAACTCAAAAACCAAAGCCTGAATAAAACCTGGGAGAGCATTAAAGGAATAGTTAACACCAGAACGTGTGCCAAAGACTTGAAATGTTGAAAAGAACAGAGGATGTGGATGCTGCTAGGGTAGATGTGATTATTTAATTCATCACAACAGTAATTATTTTGGAGTTCAGTTGTCAATTCGCCAGCACAGATCTGACAATTGAACAGTTCAAACACAGGAAATGCAATGATAATAACACATAGGGACATTGGTGCATAAGGGACAGACATCCATAAATATGAATTAAAATCTACATTTTGTCCTTAATCAGTCCCTTGTTGGTTGTCAGTGTGGATCCTTACCACTGTCCTGGATTGGCAAGGAATAACTCAAAAATTGAATATAAAAGAGTTGGAAGCATAGGTTTAATAAAAGAGTCACATGAACTCCACTATACAAATATACTTGTCTTGCCTTCACACTAATACAATTAAACAAAAATCATGATGCGTCATGAAGAGACCAAAAAGAAAATGTGCAAGGCTGACTGCAAGGGCAATGTGAGGGAAAACCAGTGTACAGTAGAGTGAGCATCTTTCTTTGTATCATCAATACAAATAATACAAAGAACAACAGCATGAGTTCAGACATGTATACAATGTCAGGGGGCTATAGGACAGGAGAAAAGGTCATTTTCCTTTTTTTGCAAAGCTTTTGCAATGTGATTTTACTGCAAATGGCAAATTAATTCTAATTCTTCTTCTCTGTTTTACTGAATGGTTTTTGCCTATGTGCGTGTTCAGCGCTTTGACTGTTGTTTTTAAATGTCTCATAGTGTGGATTGATGTTTTGATCCATTGTTTTGCTTTGTAAAATTGGTTTCCTGTTACTGTATTGATTGCATGCCCCCCACCCCTTATTTATTTCACCTGTGTCTCTGTTTGCGTATTTATACCCCTCTCCTCTTGTTGTCAGTCCATTTTCTTTACCCACATCAAGCGTGGATTTTTGTGGTTGGATTTGGTTGGTTTTATAGCATGACACAACACTTTTATTTGCAGTCCTGCATTTGGGGTCACTCTCTTGAAAAAGAGGTTCTTAAACTCAATGGGACTTTCCTTGTTAAATAAAGGTTAAATAAAAATAAAATTCACTTCATGAGCAAATGTGCTATATGAATAAATTAGACTTTGTGTTTTCACCTGAGCTTTTTAGAGCCACCACTCCAGGGGCTGTTGCTGCGATCTGTGTCACCATCACCCCGTAACCAAACTTTTCACAACGACTCACCTGGAAAATACACAAATGAAATAACCGTCACACTCATATACAGTGAGGCTGAATTAAAGACTAGAGCCAGACAGGACACTGAAAAATAAAGAACAAAATATGAAACAGAGAGAGAACTACTCCAAGATTCACCCAAAACCAGAGGCCAACTAATAATTAATAAATTAGGGGACGGACTAAACTGAGGGTAGCAATTATGGAAGGGAATAAACAATGGAAGCAAATTAATCCCAGAGGGATTTAGCCAGGGTCTGCAGTTATGTGTGCATGTCTGGATTATAAATCAGGTGTATGTATGAGACAAGAAAAAAATTCAAATTAATGTGGCAGTTACAGTAATACACACAATACAATTTTTTGATTTGAACACACTTTGTAAGTAAATTAAAGCACACAATAAAGTTCTGCATATTTGAATGGCTTTAAGCATAAGACATTATGCCATTGTAATTAACGGGAAAAAATAATCTTGATTGAATTTGATGCAACAAGTTAAGAAAGTAAAATTGTCTTAACATTTCTACTACATACAGTGCTCACTCTGTAAATACAATAGACAGCAGCAGTAATCTATACGTTTGAGTACCTGTAGCTTTTTGGTAAAGCGAGAAAACATGTATCCGACACACTCATTGATGGCGCCGCTCTGCTGGAGGAGGAATAAACCTTTTGGGGTCACAGCAAAGTTCAACAGGCTGTCCAGGATGGAGTCCTCCCACACGAGCCTGTACCAAAAAGAGTGAAACACATTAAAGGGTATTACAAGCTCAAAATGATTAAAACAAAGAGAAAGAGAAATACACAACATTTTTTTACATTTCATCATCAACAATAACTTGTAGCCGTAAGAACTGAGACAAATTATGATGTCAACACAAAGACACATTTTTGGCCATTATGATGAACAAATGATCATGACACTATTTACTTCATGTTTTAGAATTTTAAAGGAGTAGACGACATATGGTAAAACAAGTATGAACTTAAAAAGCCTAGCGAAAGTAACAAGCATTTCAGATGAGAAATGTCTAACACTTATTAGGGGTAGTACTTTTGTTTTAAAGAGTGTGCTTTTAGACAGAAGGGGCGTAGTTACATATTTGTGCCAGAGATATGATAAGAGATCCTTTATTTGTCCCACAGTGGAGAAATTTCAATGTTGTGGCATGGATCTGACTTACTGCCGGCAATGCGAACACAGCTCTGGCTCCGGTCATACAGGGATCGGATGGCCCTCAGCAGAGGACCTCCGACCCCGTACTCCCGGAGAACCCCCCAAAGGACACCCCGGGGAACACAGTCGAACGCCTTCTCCAAATCCACAAAGCACATGTGGACAGGTTGGGCGAACTCCCATGAACCCTCGATTATCCGATGGAGAGTATAGAGCTGGTCCAGTGTTCCGCCACCGGGACGAAAACCACACTGCTCCTCCTGAATCCGAGATTCGACCATCGGCCGTAGCCTCCTCTCCAGTACCTTGGAGTAGACCTTACAGGGGAGGCTGAGGAGTGTGATCCCACGATAATAAGTGGTCCCTCTTGTAGAGAGGGACCACCACCCCGGTCTGCCACTCCATTGGCACCGCCCCCGATTGCCACGCGATGTTGCAGAGACGTGTCAGCCACGACAGTCCTAAAACATCCAGAGACATTAGATAATCAGGACGGATCTCATCCACACCCGGAGCCTTGCCACCATGGAGGCTGCCAACCATCTTGGTGACCTCATCCAGGGAGATGGATGTATCCGCCCCAACATCCTCAGCCTCTGCCTCTGTAACGGAGGACGTGACGGGGGTATTGAGGAGAACCTCAAAGTATTCCTTCCACCGCCCGACAATATCCCCAGTCGAGGTCAGCAGCTCTCCACCCGCACCGTACATGGTGTTGGCAAAGAACTGCTTCCCCCTCCTGAGGCGCCGGATGGTTTGCCAGAATCTCTTCGAGGCCGACCGATAGTCATGCTCCATGGACTCTCCAAACTCCTCCCAGTCCCGGGTTTTTGCCTCTGCAACAGCCCGGGCCGCGGCACGCTTGGCCTGCCGGTACTGGACAGCTGCATCAGGAGTCCCCCGAACCATCATGGCTCGATAGGACTCCTTCTTCAGCCTGACAGCATCCCTTACTGCCGGTGTCCACCACCGGGTTCGGGGGTTGCCGCCGGGACCAGCACCAGAGACCTTGCAACCACAGCTACGAGCCGCTGCATCGGCGATTGAGGCAGAGAACATGGTCCACTCGGACTCCATGTCCTCCTCCTCCGCCGGGACCTGGGAGAAGCTCTCCCGGAGGTGTGAGTTGAAAGTCTGTCTGAGAGGGGGCTCAGCGAGACGTTCCCAGCAGACCCTCACTATACGCTTGGGTCTGCCAGGTCTGACCGGCTTCTTCCCCTGCCAGCGGATCCAACTCACGACCAGGTGATGATCGGTTGACAGCTCCGCTCCTCTCTTTACCCGAGCGTCCGAGACACGCGGTCGAAGGTCAGATGATACGACAACAAAGTCGATCATCGACCTCCGGCCTAGGGTGTCCTGGTGCCACGTGCACTGGTGGACACCCTTTTGCTCGAACTTGGTGTTCGTGATGGACAAACTGTGACTGGCACAGAAGTCCAACAACTGAACACCGCTCGGGTTCAGATTAGGGGGACCGTTCTTCCCGATCACCCCTCTCCAAGTGTCACTGGCGTTTCCCACATGGGCGTTGAAGTCCCCCAGGAGAATAACGGAGTCCCCGGGCGGTGCACCGTCCAGTACCCCTCCCAAGGACTCCAAGAAGGCCGGGTACTCTGCACTGCTGTTAGGCCCGTAGGCCGTCACAACAATGAGAGACTTGTCCCTCACCCGGAGGCGGAGGGACGCGACCCTCTCATTCACCGGGGAGAACTCCAACACGTGGCGGCTGAGATGGGGGGCAATGAGAATGGCCACCCCAGCTCGCCGCCTCTCCCCGCGAGAAACACCAGAAAAGTGGAGCGTCCAACCCCTCTCAAGGAGTTGGGTTCCAGAGCCCAAGCTGGGTGTGGAGGTGAGGGCGACTATCTCTAGTCGGTATTGCTCAACCTCCCCCACGAGCTCGGGCTCCTTCCCCCCCAGCGAGGTGACGTTCCACGTCCCAAGAGCCAGATGTGTGTGCAGACTGGGTCGCCGAGGTCTCCGCCTTCGGGGCCCCGGCTGCGCCATGCCGGGCGACGTCACTGGTCTATTTATTGTGCTGTCCATGGTGGTTTTTGGACCGCTCTTCGTCTGACTCTTCACCTGAGATTTGTCTGCCATGGGAGACCCTACCAGGGGCATGAAGCCCAAGACAGCATAGCTCCCAGGATCATCCGAGTACTCAAACTCCCCCACCACGTTAAGGTGGCAGTCCAAAGGGCCTCCGACAGGGCTGCCCTTTGTCACCGGTTCTGTTCACTGCGTTTATGGACAGAATTTCTAGGCGCAGCCAGGGGTCGGAGGGGGTCCGGTTCGGAGACCACAGGATTTCATCTCTGCTGTTTGCAGACGATGTTGTCCTGTTGGCTCCAACGAACCAGGACCTCCAGCATGCACTGGGGCGGTTTGCAGCCGAGTGTGAAGCGGCTGGGATGAGAATCAGCACCTCCAAATCCGAGGCTATGGTTCTCAACCGGAAAAAGGTGCCTTGACCTCTACAGGTGGGTGGAGAGGTCCTTCCTCAAGTGGAGGAGTTCAAGTATCTCGGGGTCTTGTTCACGAGTGAGGGAAGAAAGGAGCGTGAGATTGACTGGCGGATTGGTGCAGCGTGCGCAGTGATGCGATCGCTGTATCGGACCGTTGTGGTAAAGAGGGAGCTGAGCCGAAAGGCAAAGCTTTCAATTTACCAGTCAATCTTCGTTCCCTCCCTTACCTATGGTCATGAGCCGAAAGAACGAGATCGCGGATACAAGCGGTCGAAATGAGCTTCCTCCGCAGAGTGGCTGGGCGCTCCCTTAGAGGTAGGGTGAGGAGCTCAGTCACACGGGAGGAGCTCGGAGTAGAGCCGCTGCTTCTCCACGTCGAGAGGAACCAGTTGAGGTGGCTCGGGCATCTGTTCCGGATGCCTCCTGGACGCCTCCCTGGGGAGGTGCTCCGGGCACGTCCCACCGGGAGGAGGCCCCGGGGAAGACTTAGGACACGCTGGAGGGACTATCTCTCTCAGCTGGCCTGGGAACGCCTTGGGGTCCCCCCGGACGAGCTGGAGGAAGTGTGTGTGGATAGGGAAGTCTGGGCGTCTCTGCTTAGACTGCTGCCCCCGCGACCCGGCAACGGATAAAGCGGAAGAAAATGGATGGATGTGGCATGGATGGAAATTAAATCTCCAGGTCTGAGGGAGCAATATTCTAACATGGGGAAATACTCAAAAAAGTTTATTTAAATATGTCTCCTTTACTCTAATGTACAACTACTTACTTGGTGACTGCTATGCAACCTGTTATTAACACATATGTCTATGTGTTATATTTGTCTGAAATGGATAAAGCTGTTGAGCTTAAGTCTTATAGATATACTTGTATGTGTTTTCAGATGTGCCGGTCAGTCTTTGGGTCGTTGCTGGTGCTGCTGCTGGGAGCCCCTCTCTAATCTAAAGATAATGGAAAAAAAAAAACACAACATCAAGGTAAATATAAACAGGTATAATATTCAATACAATTCCATTTATTTTTGTAGAGCCTTAAATCACAACAGCAGTCATCTCGAGTTAGGCAGTTCAAACACAGGAAATGTAATAATAACAAACACATTGGTCCATATAGGGAGTGAGATGACAAATGGGTAGTGTCCAGTTTTGTTAAAATATTTGTTGCAATAGGTACACAAAGTCAGTCCCAAAATAACCATTACACAATGGTAATTTTGGAATTATTTTACTATTAAAAATGTCTTTCAAAACACGTCAACACTTATCAACACGTCTTTACTGCCCACACTCTAATCTCTACTCTCTCAGCTCTACTCAACTCTCTCTCTTTGCTCAGTAGCTCACCTTCTTCCACTGTGTAGCCAGTACTGTGTGCAGTCTGTACGGCCACAGCACCTGGAGACCATCGCAAGTGTTGTAAATCTGTCTGCACACAAATATGAACGCTCCACACACAGCAGACAGCTCTGGGTCACTCAGCGGGAGCTCCTTCCTCAGCAACTTCAAAGTGAATTGAACAATGATATGGGCCACAGAGGTCCTGGAAGAAAAGGCAACCATTAATACTTTTTGATTTAATTGTTTTTTTTTTTTTGTGTTTTACAATTCAAAATTTAACTTTTTGCTTCATAAATGTGTTCTGTTTGTTGCAACAGAAAGACTACAACATGCAGTCTTCATCTTTATAAGAAAACCTGTTATCTTTAACATTTGACTTCAGTCGTAGCAGTTCTCACACTCCTGTAGTTATTGACAACTCCCAGGTGCAGATCGTAGAGGAGTGCAAGTTCCTGGGTTTAACTCTGTCTAACGACCTGAAATGGGACAAAAATACTAACCGGGTTGTTAAGAAAGCACGTCAGCGGCTCTTCTTTTTGCGGAAACTTAGAGAATTTACCACTAACTCTAAGATTCTGCTTAACTTTTATCGCTGCACCATTGAGAGTTTACTTGTTGGTTCTGTGTCTGTGTGGTTTGGAAACATCACAGATAAAGAAAAGAGAGCTTTAAACAAGGTGCTCCGCTCTGCAAAGAGGACTGTGGGCTGTGAGCTTCCTGTTCTGGAGGTTCTTATAAATCCAAACTTTTAAACAAAGCTCTTAAAATCATCAATGACTCTTCTGGCCACCCTGGGAAAGCCATGTTCCAGCTTCTTCCCTCTGGCAGAAGATATCGGTCGCTGAGATGCAAGACATCTCGCTATGCTAACAGCTTCTTTCCACAGGCTGTTAGGTGCCTAAACAGAGCACTTTAATTCCTGCTTTTACCCCTTGTATCGTTTTGTTGATCGGTGCCACAGTGTCAGCTGTTTTTTTATTGTTTTATATTCAGTGTATGTGTATTTTATATTACATTGTATCGTGCTTTTTATTCTGTCGGTGCACACAGAGTACCTTTTTTTGCAAATGTATTCCAATGTAGTTTTTATACTGCACATGGCTAATAAAATGAATCTGAATCTGAATCTGAGGCTGATTGGCTGAGAGAGGGCTGGTACATTTGTAGGAGAAATTAAAATGTCCTCTTTCCTCAATCAAAGACATTTTGTTGTATATTGAGACATATTATAACTTCTGTCTCCACTGTGTGTAAATCCTTGTGGTTCAGGTTTTATTGTGGGTAAGAATGTCTTAAGATAAGTGCCATGGCAACACCCTTCCCCCAACGACTCTACCAGATGTGAAGACTTACAAGGACCCACAGGGAAGAAAAACCAGTCTGCTTTGGAACTACGGAGTGACCAGACCTCCCTGGGCTCTGCCTGGGCTCTGCTCAGGCAACCATGGGGCCTTGGGCCTCTTAGATGGCCTCAAACCTCAGCTCCACGTTTGAGAGGACTTCCACAACCCTTCAATAGCCTCCAGCTTCAACCTGAAGAAGTTGCTGAGTTTTGGCACCTAGACTGTGGATCGTGGGAGGACTTGGTTCAGCCACATGATGCAGCCGCATGGTCCAGGCCCCGGGGACAAGAAGCCTCCATCCAACACCATCAAGACCCAAGGACTGCTATTCACCAAAGGCCATTCTGGTTTTATGATCTTCTCTCTTGCTACACACAGCTGTTGGCTTTATTAAAACCTATACTTCAAAGAATACTTCTCCTACCAAGGCTGAACACATGCAGGCCTCAGCCTATACCAATCCATTCATAGACAAAGGTCTTGCTTAGCTCACTTTAGCCTATAGCATTTGAACAATGTCTCTTGAAATCAACGTTTCCTTCATGTTATTCTTGACAATTTGCATATTTCATATCTAGTCTGTATTGTGTATACTTCATTAAATCTACAAAACCATCTTTGTCTGAAAGTGATAGGAAGTATTGTGTGGAGATTGGAGACTATGTCTCAGATAATATGGCCCTGACCTGCGGAGTGCCACAGGGGTCGATTCTGGGACCTCTCCTGTTCAATATTTACATGCTGCCATTAGGTCAGTTAATTCAAAGTATGAAAGTGTCCTACCACAATTACGCTGATGACACTCAGATCTATGTCTCACTGACTGCAGGAGAGCATGGACCGGTGGACTCACTCCTTCGCTGTATCCAGCGGATCAGTGAGTGGATGCAATGCAATTTTCTCCAGCTAAATGCGGACAAAACCGAAATGATTGTCTTTGGTCCCGAGAAACAAAGAGAGACCGTCATTTGTCACCTTCAGTCTCTCTCCCTAAGGCCTTTAAATAAGGTCAGAAATCTGGGAGTAATAATGGACTCTGACTTAAACTTCAATAGCCACATTGGATCGGTAACATCAGCAGCTTTTTATCATCTGAAAAATATTGCCAAAATTAAAAATATTGTGTCCAGGGCAGACTTGGAGATTCTTATCCATTCTTTTGTTTCCAGTAGGCTGGATTACTGCAATGGCCTGCTCACAGGTATCTCCAAACATGCAGTAAAACAGCTGCCAGTATATTCAAAATGCTGCAGCCCGAGTCCTGACTAGAACCAGGAAGTACGACCACATTAGTCCGGTCCTCAGGTCTCTGCACTGGCTTCCCGTGGCCCAGAGGATAGACTTTAAAGCAGCTCTCCTGGTGTACAAGTCTCTCCATGGCCTTGCACCAAAGTACATCCATGATATGCTAGTCCCATATGAACCAGCCCGGACTCTGAGGAGCGCAGGGACGGGACTCCTGTTAGTGCCCAGAGTCAGGACTAGACAGGGGGAGGCTGCTTTTCAGATTTATGCAGCTAAAGTCTGGAACAGTCTTCCTGAGGATGTGAGACTGGCTGCCTCTCTGTCAATGTTCAAATCCATGTTAAAGACTTTTCTTTTTTCCTGTGCATACAACTAGAGAATTTTATCTTTTTAACACACCTTGTTATTTATTGTTGGAACTTTTTGTGTTTTTAACTATTTTATTGTTTTTAATTACTTGTGTGATTCTTATGTTTTTAAATTACTTATGTGATTTTAATGCTTTTTAATTACATATGTGTTTTTAATTGTATTTTAATGGTGATGATTTGTGCATTGTGTGGTGTGGACTGTGAGGCGCTTTGTGTTGCCCTGTGCAGGAAAAGCGCCCTATAAATAAAGATTGATTGATTGATTGATTGATTGATTGATATTTGTACTTTTAACTCCAGAAATTGGGTCACTGATTTGAAAAAGAATTCACTACTTTCAGATTCTATTGAAGAGAATTGGACTAACTAGCTAATTAAATAATGAAAGGACTCATGAGATTACTTAATCAATGAATGAGCCAATTAATTGATATTGTGACGTCAAATGCACGTTATCAGTTGGGAGTTATTCCCTGGTGCCCCTAAATAAAGCTATTATCAATTATTGTATTTATTACATAGTTGTTTTTGATCCAATTCTCCGATATCAGGTACATAACTAAGTTATGTGTGATATCGATATTTTCTCACCCTACATATTATGGTGCCCTGTGTGAGGACAAATCAAACTTAATTTCTGGAAATTAAATCATACTAATTCAATATGACAAACTTATTGTAAGCTGTTGTTGCGAAGAAAACTGAGGTACTTCACCGGAGCAATCCAATCTAAACTCACAGTATCTATTCTTGTATAGCATAAACATGCATAAAACTCCAACGCATTACCAGCGCACTAAAGTTAAAACTTAAAAGTTAAATGCTGCGATTCTCCAAATTCAAATGACTTTCAAATCAAAGATGGCTTTTCCTCTTGCTGCAGAATGTCACACCCCTGTGCCAAGAGCCAAAAGCATCTGGCCAATCAGAGCACTTCATCTGCAGGCTGTGAGAGGGGAAAGGGGGGTCCACGGCCCCTCCCCACAGACACTCATCAGATGTCCCTCACACAGCACCTCCTGGAAGGTCAAGAAGGGTTAGAGATGACAGCAGAGTTTACGGAGTCATTAATGGCTTTGTGCTCGAACAACATCTCCAAAAACCACACCTGCAAATTCACGCGCTATTCCTTTACTTAGTTCAAGACGTAATGGTTGCGAGTGATTTCCAGCGTGTAAAGCTTAAAACCAAGAGGCATCGAGTCTAAGTGAACATGACCACCTGCGACTTTCCAGGGGCGTTCAATACACCGCCTGATCTCAAAGCTATTACTAAACGCGACGTTCCGTTAGCCATTAGCAAAAGATCCTGAAGTGGGACTAGCTATCCACACAGGCATGTTTTACGTAAATCGCTGCGAGTACGCCCCAGCGTGTAAACCCTCGATCAAAGGGGTCTCGGTGTAAGTGTAAGTGGCAACCTGCGATGTCCAGGGCCCAATCAACACCCCCCATGATCTTTAAGCTAGGTCTAACGCGACTCTCCGTTAACCTTTAGCAAAAGACCTGTATGTGAGATTAGCTACCCACAGAAGCACGGTTAAGCAAAAATCGTTGCAAGTAAGTCCAGCATGTAAATCGTCAAACCAAGTTGTAAAACAAGCCACCACTGGTTAATAATTTCCAGTTGCGCATATTTGCGTATACTTTCGCTCTACCAAAAGAGTAAACATAGAAGAATATCTGAGATTCAAAGTCACTTTTCTAGGAAAATCTATGCTCAAATACGAGTCATTATTGCGGCAAAATCAAGCCAGTAAGACTTGGCTCCACGTTGAATTGTCTCAGTGAAAGTATCTTCCCTCAACAACACTCCAAATTGTTTGAAGAATAAATTTTATACATTCTCTATTGTCAATTATAACAGCATATAGCTACAGATATTAGCTTCCAGCTTCTAGCCTAGCATTAGCTAATACAAGCATCTTTGCCTCCAGCTATTACCATAGCCTTAGCTACCTCCATCAAAGAATGGAAAAGCTCAGACAAATATTCTTACCAGTTAATCTGAATAAAACCACTCCAGTGAACTCTAGATAGAGAATACACACAGACTTAGCTATAAAACTCCTGGCATTGTCTCAAACACAGTTAGGACAAACTAAAAGCCAACTCTGTGACATGAGCAATAGAGCGCTATTACAGCAGAACTTCGCCTCCGCCTCCTACTGAGAGCTCTACTTCCTGCTGAAAACTCCGCCTCCTACTGAGAGGCGAAAATTTCTTTAGGAGAAATTAAAATGA